AATTAACATTATTATTACAGGTAAGGACTACAATTATTGCAACGGCAAAGATATGAATGAATGAATGTATCATGACACGTTGACCATTAAATATAATATACACGTCATTCAATCATCGTTGTAATTACGCGAGGTGGAAAAGGCGTACCATGAATTTGTCTGTTCGTAAATCGTACGATGCTTGTAATTAATGGCGACGCGATAAAGAGATAAATACGCGTGGTCTTTAAATCTTCCATCATGAAGGGAATAAATTTGGTAAATAATCCTATACCGTCATCAAAGCTTTTATGCGCTTAACGTAAATTTAATTCAATTTTCTTTTACGTAACATATTATTACAATATTTAGTTCTTTCGCATACACTGGAGGTTATAAATAAATTCTACTAAAATGATTATTTTAATCATGTGCGATCGAAAATGTTACAATAACGTAACTTGAAATTTGTTGTTCAAACCATAAATTACACTCATAAACACACATATGCATTTAATAATAAACACAATGCAAATATTTATGTATATGAAATATTTATGTAAATGAAAAATCCGATATAAAAAATTTTATTAATGAAAATATAATTTCAAAAAAATTCATAATTTTGCTTTTTATTATTCATTAATTATAATTATATTACTATTGTTTCATCACCATTGAAATTATTTTAAACGAAAAACTTCAATAATTAAATAATTCAAAATTTAAATAATTAATTCAATTAACGTTCTCCATTTAATCAAGTCAGTTATTTCAAACATTCAACAGTAAAATAAAAAAACCTGCGCGATCGCATGTTTTCACAAAGAAAGATCTAATCGGAAGATTAACGTCTCCCAGGTGAACAGAGCCTATTTACCTGTGATCTCTGAGATGATCCTGCCGTCGGAAGGCTTTGCCACATATGTCGCACGAATACGGCCGCTCGTCGGTATGCGTCCTCTCGTGGATCAACAGATTATAGCTCTTCGTGAACTGCCGGCTGCAGAACTTACAAATAAACTGTTTCTTGGGTCTGGATGTACGGCAAGTCCTTGGTACACTCGAGTCCACCGTGATCGAAGCATGTTGCGCGGACGAGGAGGAGGAAGACGAGGTGGACGAAGCCGAGGAGCAACCCGAGGAAGTTGACGACGCGAAAGATGTTGGAACGGTCAAGGATCGTGAGACCGTCGTCACCGACGTGCTTGCGCGATTCCCTTCGGATATTCGTCGCAGGAGCAGCTCGTGATTCGCCGAGGAGGAGCTTGTTCCGGACGCCTCACATAGCAGGACCTCGTCATCTTCCGCTAGAAGCGCCAGATCCTCTTCGGTGTCGGTCACAAAGTCCAGCCGTGCCTCATCTTCCTCGCTGATTGCCGAAGCGGCCGATCGGAGCAGCTGATCGGCTGTCAGATGGTCATTCTTGACTGCTGTCGGGCTCAGGGTCGCGTCAACATTCGCGTTCAATGATGAACACCTCTGATTACCAACGACGGTCGCGGTGGCGCTCGCGGTTTGCGCGACGCCGGAAGTCGCGCCGCTTGCATGAAGACGATGAAGCGTCAAGTACGTCTCCAGTGCCTGGAGATTGAAAGCCGCAGCGGCGGCGTGTCCCGGTGGCAGGAGCGCCGCTCGCTGCAGAGCCGAGAGGAGGGCACCCTGAAGCCTCAGGGCGACACTCTGGAGCGCTAGATTAGGTAATTCGGTGCCCGCAGCGAGACTGGTGACATCAGTCTCCTGTGAGTCTGCCGTAACTGTGACCGATGAAGTCGACGGCGAAGACGAAGTGGATGGCACCATTACGAGGGCCCGTTGCTCCTGCTCCGGTTCCTGATGTTCCTCCTCCTGCTGCTGTTGCTGCTGCTGCTGCTGCTGCTGCTGCTGTTGCTGCTGCTGTTGCATCCTCCACCGTCGTTCGAATCGTCCCGGATTAGCCTCTGGAACGCGCGCCTGCCGTATTTCGCCGATATCATTGGCAAGGTGATCGGAAATTCCTAATTTGTCCTAATTTGATTCAGATAAGTATTGCAACGTGGATACGTGCCGGTATTCTTCCGGTATCCTAAATTCTCCGTGTTGATTTCACCTTTGCACGACGTTGCCGAACCCGGCCACGCGTTTACATATTTTTCGTCAACTAATTGTCAGTTCCCGAAACGATTGTTCCTGTAGGCACGGTGCTCGAACACGAAAACGGGAAAGAGGATACACACACACGATGCTGGCGGTGCGAAGGCGCCCCGAAGACTGCTCCTACCTGCCGCTGCTGGGTACTGCTGGTGGAGCCACCTGGTGGCAGGTATCCGAGTCAAAATGGGCCTGTCCGCGGGGAACGGGCCCCGGATTCAGGAGAGAGAGCTGTGCCACAGCTGGTCCGCGTGCGACGGCCCGCCGGTTTCGACGATACGAGACCGGCTGCATGATCTTAACGTGGGCCGCTACGAGTTGCGACTTGCGTGCCGCAACTCGCAACGGCGAACATACATTCGGAGACGCACGCGCGCGCGTGTGCGAGGGATATCCGGAAACGTGAATCGCGATCGCGATCAACAGCTGTTTAACCCGCGTGTGTTGTCCTCGCGAAACGCGCGTTTCTCATTGCATTAGAAGCACAAATATGCAACGAACATTTTTATTTATGCAGCTATACAGAAAAACCGTTATGCTAAAGTATCTAAAAATTTAGCTGAGTACAGAACTGAAAATAATTCCATACAACTTTCAAAATTATACAATGTTTAAGCTTTGATGAATGCTGCAAAAGATTTTAACGATCAGTTTGAATGATCTACATAATTTTGATAATTTAAACAAAATATTTTCGGATCTGCATAGATTTTTCAGCAAAATTGTTCTCCATGAATCAGAGATGAAATTGTGATTAGGAAGAATAAAGAAGAATATAATTAAAAATAACTCAAAAATAAAAATAACTCTGTAATAAAAGATCATTGATTCACTAATAATTCCAATTCAGTTATTAAATTTACAACTTTTTGTCATATATAACACTTGTAGGCATTACAATTTTGAAAACTACTATTTTTATATTATATGTTATACTTTTTGTAATCCATCAAATATGTGCTTTTATTAATTTATATATTATATTCCAAATAAAATCCGAAATCAGTTCTAAATAAAATTTTAATCGTTTTTTCAAACTTTAATCATTTCTAAACAAAAACAATTATATCCTAAGTAAATTGTGTTGCTTGTAATGAGATATTTGTGTAAAACAATCTAACGATTTTCAAAAATAATGTATTTTCTCGGAAAATAATTTTCTTTTAACAAATTATGATCAATATATATTTTATATAAAGACTGTTATATATATAATTATAATTTATTTTTCGATTTAATATATATAT